TTGTCATAGCTATTCCAGCTATGTTATATAGGTTATATATATAGTAATAATGCATTCATAAGTGTTAGGTATGAATAAACATCTTAGAAATGATGTTGAATCATTTTTACTTAGCCATTGAAAATTGCCCCCCCCCCCCCCCCCTAAAAATGATCTAAACCTTATAAAACAAATCACCATTATTTTAAATCAAGTGCAAACTTAAGTGTTGATTGCGTTTTATTAACAGAAAATTGCATTTCTTGAAAAAACTTTCAAAATGATAAAATTGCAATAAATCTAAATTTTTTCTGAAATTTGAAAATTTAAAATTGAGAATGGAAATGGGGAATGTGTCAAAGAGACAACAACCCGACCATAGAGCAGACAACAGCCGAGGCCACCAATGGGTCTTCAATGAAGCGAGAAACTCCCGCACCCGGAGGCGTCCTTCAGCTGGCCCTAAACAAATATGTATACTAGTTCAGTGATAATGGACGTCATACTAAACTCCAAATTATACACAAGAAACTAAAATTAAAAATGATACAAGACTAATAAAGAACAGAGGCTCCTGACTTGGGACAGGCGCAAAAATGCGGCAGGGTTAAACATGTTTTTTGAGATCTCAACCCTCCCCCTATACCTCTAGCCAATGTAGAAAAAAACAAAAGCACAACAGTACGCACAGTAAAACTCAGTTTAAGAGAAGTCCGAGTCCGATGTCAGAATAGGAAACAAAAGAAAATAAACAAAATGACAATAATACATAAATAACAACAGACTACTAGCAGTTACTGACATGCCAGCTCCAGACCTCAATTAAACTGATTGAAAGATTATGTCTTCATCATATGAATATCAGGCACAATCCTTCCTGTAAGGGGTTTAGTATTATACCATCATAAAATATATGAGAAGAACATAACCCGTGTCATGCCAACAACAGGTTTTAGAATAAATATGTTTAATTCCGATGCAAAGACCCTATAAGTGAATCAATATTAAAGCCAAAATATGCAATCTTAAATGACCTGACAACAGTATTGTAACTATATTGTATGTCAAAAATAAAATAGAATTATTGTTTATAGACTGAGAGATTTTTTTCATCATTTTAAACTACAATTAATATGATGTAGGTCCAGATGTAGCCTTCTAATGAAACTTTTGTAGTTGCCCAAAAAAAACACCATCTGCAAATAGTTATCATTTTGCTAGATAATATTGTTAATATCGGCAGATAATGATCAACCATATTTAAAAAAAGGGTAATGGAAGAACTTTAAGGAACAAAAGAAGTATATTTGGAAAAAAAATAGTTTTCCGATGTGGAAAGATATGTTACGAAGATTATTCTCGTTCAATGTTCGAATGAAAACTGTCTGTACCCTACGCTTTTCAATGTCTAATCCGGTGAATTTCTTTTAATGTTAGCCCATTATTATATACTTTGTTAGTTGTTTTATCAAATATGTCTGAAAATTAATAATTCAGATTATTTAAGATTGAATACGATTCATGAACAACTGCAATCACCATACTGGTTTATGTAGTGTTCACACAATTGGGTATAGTGTTTTAAGAAGATTGGTTTGTCTGTCCTACTTTTCTCCATTGTCATGCTGTCATCTGTTTTTTTCGACTATGGTTTGAGACTGCTTAATTCCTTATTATTTTATCACTTTTTTCAATCAAAGAAAAGAAAACCATTAATTTCAAAGTTGAGCGAAAAAAGACAACAGAAATTAAAACTCAGATATTGATGCAAAAAATAAATTAGTGTAACAACATAAATTACCGAACTCCAAGTGAAAATTCAAAACAGAAAGTCTCTTATCAAATGACTAAAACCAACAGCTGAAACACATCAAACGATTGGAAAACAGTTGTGATAGACCTCGTTGATCTCTCTCCCCATCTCTATCTATCTTTATATGATAAAGCGGAAATGAAGAAATCATTTTGTTCCTTTGTCTTTTCTTTTGTTCTGTCCATTAAAATATCCATATGTTAGTGTCAAAATTGTAATGAGCAATATTCCTCAGACATTGCTTGGTAGAATTATGGAAGTTCAAAGTGCACATATGGAGGTTATACGTGAAGGGATTTGTTTCATAAAAGACATATTCAAATAGCGCTAAAAATAGTAATCGCTTTAAATTTACCAGAACTTACCTGCTTTCAAGCTATCTCATTAACCTCATCTTATTAAAATGAAATTCTCCAATTTCGTTATTCTTATGCGTATATGAGCAGGCGAGTCGTGATTGATCTGAATTTTAGTCACATTGTTTTAACCCATGTTTGTACCACTTACAATAACATTTTGTACGGTTTATATTTTTATGTCAACTTATATCACTTATTATTGTTGAGAGATCTTCGAACCATTAGAAAATTGAACTGAAAAATATGAAAATAAAGAAATAAAATCGCCAAAAGTCGCTGTCATATCAACAACCGAGGACTCAGTGCACAATAAATATCCACGAACATAATTTAAGATCAGAATACATAAAACCAATTAAAAAACTGGATAAATTCAACCACATTTTTTTCATTCCTCACAATTGTATAGATATTTTAGAATAACATAACTTCATTTTAAACCATATGTATTCTTCATACACATGACTATCATTAATATGCCAATGTTCAACCAATGCTTAATATACATGTATGATCTACTAAAATAGTGGGTTTTTCTTTAAATGCCTAAAATGAAAATATTATGTGGCACATCTAAATTGAAATTTTAAGTGGTTCAAATGCATTTATATTTCTGTTTCTTATAAGCAACTTTACTTGTAAAATTTAGCTGAAGTAAACATAAACATTAAAACTGCTGTGTTTCGGTAACAGGTTGCCTACTTTTACAAAAGGTGATCAATGCTGATCGATCATTGGTAGATTTGTGTTGTGACACCTACGCAGTAACTTCGTCCTTGATACTAATAGCTATAACTAATGTATTGTTGATGGGGATTTTCCTGCTGAAGGTAGGTGGTTCCTTGGGCACTCCATGGGCCTAAACCATTTAAAACTGATCGCCGCAAAATACTTTAGTAGACAAACATGCAAAACCGAAAATTGCGTCAAACACCAACAATCAATCAATCATCTGTTTATTAAAATGTATTTATATGTAAAATATTTAAGGAGTAAAATTGATTAATGGAAATGTATGTATTGTTATTGCGAATTGCTAGATTTCCCAATTCTAAAACTAATGTAAGTTAATATCATTGAGAGAGTCTCAATTTATTTACAAGAAATTACGTAGTTTGATACGATGAAATATCTTGACCAGGCGTGAAGAACATTTTAGTGGCTATAATATAATAGTTTTCACTTCCTCAGTCAATGTAAGATGCAGTATAAGCAACCAAGAACACATACAAATATCGAAATATTGAAATATCAAAGTTTCGCTCCCATACTTTTCCCTAAATGCATGAATTTCCTTTGTATTCTATCAATCCTTAAACATTTTTACACTTTAAAATATGTGTTTTTCAACATAATATCGACTACATATAAATTTTTTTAACAAAGAACAGCTAAAAAGCTATCTTTTTGCAGATGGCGGTATTGTGGGCAACTGCATGGTTGTTATAATTGGCTGTTTAATTGACCAGAAGCGTAATTGCAGTATTTTAATGATGTCAAAAACATATTTAGCACTAAATAAAATATGTTATTTGGTTTTATGGTGAATAACAGTTGAACCACAGACATTGAATTTGATTTTCATGCATTTTTGTCATTTTCAATGGAATTTTGGGAAAACAGCCCTATTTATTAAAAATCCGACATTAATATTTTAAAGTGCTTTTGATAAGTTACTATTAACATCTGTTCTAACAGATTTCCATATGTCAATACAAAATATCATTATTCAGAAGACAGAATATGCAAAAATGCTGACTTCTTGTAAAATAAGAAGTAGTCCGTCCTTGACATTTCGTTATGATTTGACGGAAACTGCACCATACGAATTTTTGACGACCGGGCGAAAAAGGTAGTACAGATGATTTGTTTTCGAATGGTATATGATTTAGCCGTATGTTAGGTGGGTGCATTAAAAATAAAATTTTATGGTTAATATCACTCGTCTGTTATAACAGCATTTTAAAACAACATACCATTATGTTATGTTCCAATTAGTTTTTTTGAATGAATAAACAGGGGGGTTGAAAATTCAATACAAGGGGTGGGGGTTGAATTCTCCAGGGGGGGGGGGGGGGGGAGGGGAGAGGGGTTCAATTTTCCATATGATATCGGGAAAAATTGATATTTTTAGTCTATTTTTTTACTTCAATTCAACCTGGAGAGGAGAACATTCTTCTTCTTCAGTTACAGAAAAGTCAAGACCATCAACATACTGAAGTTTATTTTCGGCACATGCCTGGGAAAATTTATCAAATTATTAACATTAAATTTTTCGAAATTTGCATTTCATATGAAATGAAAAATAATTTTCAGTAAATTTGTGACAATAAAATATTTCCTGCCGTTTGTCAAGAAATGACGCTATCCCACGATGCATCATTCTAACATCCAATTGATAAAACCGTGTTGTTGTATTCCACCTGGCTCTACTGTTGAGCAGTGAGTAAGGATCCCAGGCTAATATCTACAGTCTTATTACCAACCAACACCTGATTTTGGCTGTTTTTTTCTCTTTTTTCATTTTAACATCCAAAAGGATATACTAATGTTGTCATATAATTCCAAAACAGCACATCTAGACATGATCCCGTATATGGACATGATGGATTAAGAATTGCAAGATTGGACTCCATACTGTCAAGAAAGTACATGTAGTATGAAGGGTCACAATTTTGGGCCATTAAATAATTGATGTTGAAATCACGTTAACAGATGGGATCGTCCGCGAAAGAATTCAAAGTCTTATTTTTTGCTGAATTTTTTCAAATCCTCAATCAAAAGTGGCAGTGCTCTTTACTTGTGCATGATGGTAGGATATTTAAGTATACTTTTACCTTATGTTTCAGAACCAGCTAAAATAAAGGCAGGAAGAGTTGGACCACCACCATTAAAAGATGGCATCTTATATGTTAATGCATATCAAGAAGATCAAATGGTAACTTTCATTATGATTTAATATAGAAGGTCGTACGGTGGTGACCTGTAGTTGTTAACTTCTATGCCATGTGAACTCCCTACCATGGAAAACTGAACCCCCCTATAGACCTCAGATTTTTAAATTGTCTTAGCTATTCCAGCTATGTTATATAGTTATAATGCATTTATAAGTACTTGGTAGGAATAAAACATGCTAGGCAATGTTTTAATTTTTTTTTACTCAGCCATGGAAAATTCAATCCCCTACCATGGAAAACTGAACCCCCTCCTATATATAGACCTCAGATTTTCAAATTGTCATAGCTATTCCAGCTATGTTATATAGGTTATATAGTAATAAATTAAATGCATTCATAAGTGTTTAGTATGAATAAACATCATAGGTCAGCATTTCTTAATGGAGTTGTAACCCTAGGTTTTATGAAATTTAATAGATTAATAAAATTTAACAGCTATGAATTTATAAAAATGAAGTTAGAGATGTGTCTATTTTTATCATGTCTATGGCTACATATCCCTGTCAACATGTAGACAAAAAAAATTTAGTGCACTCTCAGTGTTTTAGTTTGGGATTTTTCACGCTAGTCCAGGTTGTCATTATTTTGGTTTATTCAAATCCCAAGTTCTGTAATTTTTTTTTATGTATATGTCATGTATGTATCATTCATGTTAAAGTCTTCACATTAAAACAAAGACTTAGGTTAAAAATCTAATTGAGTTTCTTTTTGCAACCAAATGATGAAGACTGGACCAAGCTTATATAATTTTGATGGATCTTTTAACCTGATAGTTCAAACCCAGGGTGAGGACATATGTACTATTGTATCGATAGATCATGACCTTCTACTGAACCTAACTATTCAAAAAGTTTTCTGATACATCATTAAGTATTTTAGATTTTAATATAGATTCTAGAATTTTAAATTTATATTTACTAACTGAATCATATTTTGCATAAATTTAGCTGCAACCCACTTCAAAAGAAATAATTTTAATTCAAAGAAATCTATTAGTGCCTGGTACATTGATTGAGACAATATAACTGTTCTTTCTCGGGTAGACAACAAATACTTTATAATATTGACTGGTGACGAGGTAGTTCCATGGCCCCAGCAAATCTCAATTAAGGCCTTCAAATGCCAAAGAAATCTTTGACTAGCTAAGCTGGAACTAGCAAGTTTGTTGTCCCTAAGGTACCAACTAATATAATAGTCATTTGACAACTGTAGGCCTGATGCTAATCTGCATGTTATGTTTCAGTAAAATAGGTTTAATTAAAATTTGTCTGCATGAGTGATGCTCTCAGATACTGAGATATCATAAAATTTAGTGCAAGGCTGCATTTGGTGGAGAACAACTGCTTCCAACCAAGAGTAGGTGACACTGACCTGTTTTTCATAATTCAATGAATTTGGTTAAATAATAAAGTAGATATTTTACATGATAGTCCAGAGGATCAACATATAATTACATCAATGAGACAGCAATCCAACAATACATTTAAAGCAGAAAATAAGCTTAATATTTAAGTTCAAATTGCATACACTTAGTCACGCACATCTATTTATAGCCTAATGCAGGGTTTTATTAATGGTAGTATTACGTATAGCCTCCACCCCAAAAATGAGCCATATTTTGCATACAATATCAATTCTGACAAAATAACATGTCTCCCCATATAGTCTATGTGAAAATCTTTCAGCAAAATAAAACTGAATTGCTACTTTATGAGGCCCTACCATATGGTTCCTAAAGAGGAAACCCTTAACAAACATTGCTACAACAGAAGGGGGCAGTATGTTTTTTGGTCTATGCATCCGTCTTATATTCAGTATTTCTGATGATCGGTCAGTTTGTTATTCCTTCAGTTTGTCCCTTAACAGATTATATATTTTGGTTAAGGTAGTTTACCAGTAAATTGAGGTCACATCAGTTGAAATTTAGAACACATTCTTGTGAGGATATGCCCTTTTAAAATTACATGCCGGATTATGGTTTTGACCTGATTACCTGGTTTACTGATCGTAGACAAGTGATCTCAGGTTAATGTTTTTGGATAAAGTAGTCAACCATGAATGGTCACTGGTGGTATCAGCTTGAAACAAGCTAAATAGTACAAATGTGCATGTCAATATGATGTGAACCATTTAAAACAATATTAACTACTGTCCTCATAAGTAGGCCAGATTTTTATGTATGTATATGATATGGTTCACTGACTTGTGTGATATGTTACTTAAATTGTTGTACTTATATATATTAAATTAAGATTTAAAGATTGATTTTTGTTTTGGTTGATTTAATCTTTCCAAAACATCCCACTTAGACGTCTGAGCATTTTATTAAAACAATAAATATTCATCATCACATTTTGTTATGACTGGCAGGCACTGTTTGAGATGTGGTATATCATTGTCAATGAGACAACTATTCACAAGAAACCAAATCTGATTTAGTGTCTAATTCACCCAAATACCAGTTACATCTAAAGTTATATAATCAAAGGTAGTGATAAGAAGTTTGACAAGGTCGTTTAAATCAAATTAACTACATACCTACTTATATAAAATTACACTTTTATGTTTAAAAGATTGAAAGCTTGTTTATAAACATTTTAAATGCTTTATCTGTAGTTAAATCAAGAGTACAAAATACAGCATACAACTATTATAGATGCAATTTCACCGAAAAATTCATTAAGATGTATAAACACGATTAGGGTAAGGTGACGATGTCTTCCCAATAACTGTTACTTTGATCTCGCCTTAAATTTCCTTAAATAGTACTAGTAAACATAACATTTTAAACAATTGTCATTCTGTAGTTCAAATCCTAAATACTCAACTGTGCAAGTTTTATCACTACTCGATATAGCAGGGGCAGATCCAGCCATTTTTAAAAGTGAGGGTTCCAACCCAGGGTAAAGAGGGGGGGTTCCAACCACATGTCCTCATTCAAAAACATTGATTCTCAAAAAAAAAAAGAGGCAGGGGTTTCAACCCCCAGAACCCCCATGGATAAGCCACTGTAAAGTTACCTTTTAAAGTGATGAATTCTGAGAAAATTCTTATGAAATCAGGAAAGTTTGAATTTCATAATTTTTGTGCAAATTAATAACCAGATGTTCTCCACCAACAATAAATGATACTGAATTTTTTCAAAAATTGCCTCAATAATGGAAATTATTTTTAAGAAAATCAAATCCAGTTGAGTGATTAAGTGTCTGGGTAGGTAATGTAGTATAAGGTGACATAAGGATAGCATTACCCAAGTCAAACTGAACTACTATCATTAGCAGTTTATTAGCTGTTATTTACCAGTTCTTCATATTTTTAGCAGTCTTTCAGCTGTTCATAGCATTCCATCTAATAGCAGTTTGAGAAACTGCCTTATTCCACCATTTCTTAGCATTCCTCTTTAAGCATTCATCTTAGCATTCATCTTAGCAGTCTGGATCTACCTTCTAAACTGTTGTCAATTTGTCAATTGGACAACAGTTATGACAGCAGTTCAATAGCAGTTTGATAGCAGTTTTGGTTTTAATCTTTGTTATAAAAATGCTTGGATCTGGCTGTGTTTTCAGCTTGATAGTAAACCTTTATTTGAAGGTTATTTGATCATTTTCAAATGTGCATTTTGGCTCCAAACTGTGTGTAAATACTTGCTAGTGAAAAACTGTATTTATGTCAATTATAAAGTTTAATTTGGGCTAAATGGAATAATTTCTCACACCTGCAGTACAGTAAGTTGAAGTTACAGATAATGCATGTGTATTTTCTGACACAACTTTGTAGGGAAAAACAGAAATATATAATACAGAAAGCCCAAAAAAAGGGGGGATAGTTGTTTATTCAAATAGAATATCTGATGATGATGGGATTGTAATAAAATACTAGCATATACTAACAGTGCAAGATGTTATTTGAAAATAAAAATATGAATATTTTAATATAATTTTGTAAAAAAAACAAAAATAAATCATATTCAACAGTTGAAAAAGGGGGAGGGAATATTAGGGAAACCTAGGTCACATATAGCTGATTGTTTAATATTGACCAAACAATCCATTTAGTATATGTTACTTAAGTTTGTTTCAGAAAGTGGAAACATAATATATATTACATGTATTAAGAACTATTTTGTTTAATTCCAAAAGAGAAAGAGGAGATAACTGTTTTCTTTTGGTCCACACAAAATATTTATAGTAGTACATTTGGTAATTAAATAATAATAAAAATAAAATAACTTTTAATCTGAAAATCACTTAGTCAAGGTAATAAATAGTCTCTTAAGTAACCACTCTTATTGAATAAGTTGCTTTTTATAAGCACTGAAATTTAAAGTGCATTATGATTCTTAACTGTTCCTATTATTCTGCCACTGACATAATTATTAAGGGGTATAAGGCCAGGTACAGTACTCACAAAGCATGTTTACACCCCTTAACAAGTCTGTTATTGGATTAAAATAGAGTCATTTGATTGCAGTTACTGCTTAAATTACAAATATAAGTTGGTACAACTTTTTGAAATTTCAACAAGACTTGCAGTAAAATATTAGAATTTTATTTTTGCATTCATATCTTGTACACTGTATATTCATGTGTACCTTTGTATTCCAACTTTTGACAGATCTGATAGCATTCCATAGCAGTTATTAGCAGTTTAGAAAACCATATTACGATGTACAACTTAGCAGTTTCTATGAATATTCATTATTGATAGCTGTTATTATAGCAGTTCTCATGAATATTCAGAGAAGATAGCAGTTTTTGAGTATCTCATTTAAATTTTTCGTCAAAAATAACTGCTAAATAACTGTGAAGGCTAAATAAACTGCTAAGAAACTGCTATGGAATGCTATTGGAATGCCTATATGCAAATTAATTATTGCCTTGTATTTGGCAACTGTGAATGCTAATGAACTGCTAAAGAACAGCTGTCGAGTAAGAACTGTAAATGCTAATAAACTGCTAAAGAACTGCTGTCCACTTTGACTTGGGTAATTGACTTTTGACTGTATCTGGACAAGTTTTTTGGCTCATAACAAAATTATGGTGCTATACAGTCAATGAATGAAGAGAAAAGCTATTTGTAAGTAGTGGATTTTGTTCTCATTATAAAGTTAGGAGATGTGGTATACATGTAATTGCCAATCAGAAGCTATAAAAGGCCCTGACATAACAAAATAATTCAAATGAGAAACCCAACGGTCTGAATTATGTACAAACAACAAATGGAAAACAAATATGATAAACAGGAACAAACAACAATCACTAAATTACTGGCTCCTGACTGGGGACAGGCACATACAGAATATGGCGTGTTTAAACATGTCAGTGGGTACATTTCTGTACTTAGTTACCAAAAATGATGAAAACTGGGATTTGACTAAGGAGGTCAGATAAACTTTACTCTCATGCTTCAATGACATATTATATTGTAGTAGAATCCTTAAAAATCAGAAGACTACAGTTGTGTATTGAGACAAAATCTTGAATTCTTCTAAAACAAGGTTAATCCAACTTTTTGGGGGTTTTCCTAACAAATTATGTCTTTTCCTTGAATTTACACCTGCATTTCTTTCAATTTTGACAGGAAATTTACGGGTATGCTAAGAACAAAGGTAAAGAAATCTGCATGTGGATTCTATACTTCTTGACAGTAGGTTTACTACGGTTATTTTTCTTCTGGTACCCATATCTGATGATAGCAGCCACACATGAGGAAAGTTCTTTAAAACATGCAGTAGTTGTTGTGCTCAAGGTAAAATATGATTTGTATATGGAGAAGTGATTTAATGCTTACTTGATAGGTAAATTAACAATACCTTGTAAAAAAAGTAAATAAAAAATAACAAATGATATATAGATCTACTATTTTCATTTGCACAATACATGTTTCTTGACTACAGCGGATTCATTATGAATTGTGGGTTAACAATTTTTGTGGTTTTTGTGAGTATGGGTGAACCAGGAATTTAAATGTTCAGAAAAGTACAAATGTTTTTTAGGCATATATACAGCTTTAATCAAACCACAAAATAATCAAATATGAATGAAAAAATTAATTTTCTTGAATCCATGAATATTAGCAGATTAGTAAATGTTTTTGCCAAAATGCATCAAATGAGCTTTTACTTACATCATTTTTCTTTTGTCTTTTTGGTAATTGGTTTATAAAAAGCATTTTTTTTTTATCAATAATCAACAAAACGCAGAGAAACATGCACCCAGACTAGTTTAAGGCATTACAGGAACTCTGGAACAACCAGGATATAATAATCAAACCCGCAGACAAAGGAGGCAGCCGTCGTAGTTCTTAACAAAACCGATTATCTAAATGAAGTATACAGACAACTAAACGATGAAAGTATCTACAAGAAAGTAGAAGACGATCTCAACCCCCAGTTTATGAAGAAATTCATGGATTTTCTCAACATAACGAAAAATAAGCTGGACAAGAATTTAGAGAAATACCTCATTCCGAAACAATGGAGGACACCGATTTTTTACACACTACCGAAGATCCATAAACCGGGAAATCCGGGAAGACCAATTGTCTCCGCTATAGACGCACCTACATCAAGAATGTCCGAAGTAACAAATGATATACTTAAACCACTAATAAAAAACATTAATTCATACATAAGAGACACAAACGAATTCCTAATGAAAATAAAAAACATAAGCCCGGTACCTGCAAACAGCATTTTAATAACCGCAGACGTTTCGGCACTTTACACATCAATTCCACATAGAGAAAGACTACTCGCCACCAAAGAGATGCTAGACACAAGAGAGGAACAAACAATACCCACCTGGATGGGCTTAAGATGGAAACATTTTATTTTAACTTGCAACTGCTTTCAATTTGAGAACAATTACTATTTACAGAAACGCGGGACCAGCATGGGCACCAAAATGGCACCAGAGTATGCTATAATATTTATGGACAAATTAGAACGAAATTACCTCAAAACACAACCACACAAACCACTTGTGTGGTTTCGATATATCGACGATATTTTTATGATTTGGCCCCACAGTCGCGAGGCATTGGATGCCTTCATGTCGGACCTCAACGATTTTCACCACTCGATTAAATTTACTTTCGAAATAAGCGAAACATCGATACCGTTCTTAGACACAAGAGTTATAATAGACAAAGAAGGAAATCTTACCACCACATTGAACAAAAAACCCACCGATGCGAATCTGTACCTACACTACAACTCATGGCATCCGCTACCCCAAAAAAACAGTATACCCTACAGTCAAGCCATAAGGATCAGATGCATATGCAGCACATTAGATGACTACCAGATACACACACATAAGATGAAAGAAAACTTCATAAAAAGAGGCTACCCCCCGGAAATCATAGAAAAAGCTATAAAAAATGCACATGAAAAAGATCGGAACACGTACGCTCTTCACACCAAGAATTGGAACCACAGAAGGAAATGTACAATTCATTATCACCCACCACCCAGACAACCCAACAATAAGAAAAATTATCAACCAACGGAAAAACATCCTAGAAAGATCACCTGATACATACCACATGTCCCTCATGAAATTCAATGTAACCACACGTAAAACTACCAGCCTAAGCCAATTACTAGTCAGTACGGACATAAAACCACCAAAACCAAAGGGAAACCGGCCGTGTGGCCGGGGATGCCATATCTGCTCAAAGATGACCCAATCAACCGAAATAAAAGCCACGCAAACGGAAAATCAATCAAATCACGGAACTGATTACATGTTTAACCACCAGTGTTATATATATAATCACATGCAAAAAATGTAACAAACAGTATATAGGTCAAACAGGGAACACCATTTGTGAAAGATTTTACAGGCATATGAATGACATTAAAAACAAAAACAAGCATAAACCCGTTTCAAAACATTTCAGCACAGAAGATCACAGTACAAACGACGTAACAATAACAGGCATCAAAACCACCGTTGCCAACGTCAACATACAACTACGTACAGAAGAGGCATATATTCACCACTTGAGCACACAATCGCCGTGGGGACTCAACATAAGAACATAATATAATGGCAAAAACAAAAACAACTCCGCGAAAACCGCAGGAACCACTTTAGTTAAACTGCACCCGATGCCACAAAAAATACAAGAATGTGAGTAGCTTAAAAAGACATTTCAATACAGATCACCAACCAACGTTAATCCAATTTTCATGCTCCTGGTGTAACAAGACCTTCATCAGGAAGGACTCCGCACACAGACACATGAAAGGAGAACACAACATATCAAATACCAAAGGACTTATAATAGAAGATAAAACACCACGCGAATTAGCGAAAAAAATCCAGCCGTGGATACCACCAATGGAGGCCACTACGAAATTTGATTGGAAAAAACCACCAATTTTCCGTGTAATACCAAAATCAGACCTCAACAATAACACAGTCGATCTAAAAGCAGATTTATACATTAGTAGTGACGAGGAGGAAGAAAAATTCCAACCACAAGAAATAGCCACACCACCAGTACCAGAATATATATACACAGTGACAACTTTAGAAACAGCCTTGAAATTAGTCGTATATTCCAGCTATGAAGGCCTGGAAGGATATAGACATATTCCAGGAGAATATCCCAACATCGAGATGAATGGCATAGACACTAACTATACAATTAATTGCTACAAGACAAGAAAAAACTAACATTTCTATTTATAACTTTTTATTTACATTTTTAATTTCTATTCATACTTACAGTTCTTTACTTTCACTTTCATTTTGTACACAATAACGTCGTCATGACTACATTCATTATGACATTTAATTCTGTGAACCACACAACCGCAGAATCTGTACTTCACTGTAATTTTTTCATATTGTAATTGTCCTGAAGACGCCACGCTTGTTGGCGAAACATGTAGACCACATTAAATATTTCACCATGCGGTAATTGATGGGTGTTGTTGTCTTTATTGTCGTTTAATAATCAATTATGTTAAAAAGTGTAAATCAGTACGTAGCAGTCATGGAGAATATTTTTTAAGTGTAGTCCTATATTTTTCACAAATATGAATACACCAAGGAAATATTCATTGCTTTCTTTAAAAGTAAATGATACAGATTTATATTAACAGAAAATGCTTAATGTAATCATTTAAAAAAGTAAATTAAATAAGCTGCATGACACTTTACAGCCTTAAGTGTACAATACAATTGACAAAAATCAGAAGTGTGAACATAGTAATAGTATCAGCCCATATTTATGCAACAAAAGTATTCTACTTTCCAATAAATAGCTAAAAAATTACATTTTTAACAAATTTGTGAAGATGCTATATTTTGGGGTCAAAAAGGAGTCTTACCGAGCCTTAACTTCTTTATATTTATCAATATTTGATATGAAATATATATAACATAGTATATGAAAATCCAGTCATGAAAAAAAAATAAAATCTTAAGAGTAAAAATACTCGTAATTCATACACATTTCAGTATAACTTACGATCAATTTTAATTTGTAAGATTTTTTGTGAAAAGAGTCGCTGTATTGTAAAACCATGCTAGTATGAAAAGAAAAGGCGTTGAAGTTTTATATCATTTAATGAAAACAAGTATACAGTTGAGATCAGACAGTATCTCAAGACTACTTTTTATATCATACCTTCTTTATACCTGCAGGTCATACATAGTTTTAAACATTATTAAGTCCTATAAAGACTTATATTGCTCCAAATCATTGATTTTAAAATTTAGCCCAAATGTTGACTTGATATTGGCCTAAATGCTGCATTTTTTTTCAACCCAAATGTTACAACAATTAATTAGACCTAACATGCATATCCCATAGTTTATGCATGGTTTTCTTCAGTTTAAACATGTTTAAGGCTAATTTCAATTTTTTTTTCAAAGTCAGAAAATTATTTTCAGGAAATCCTGGTGTCATTGTGACTTTATTGAATCATGTTTTTTCCCCTAGACCAAACCTCTTTTTATAGACCGCAATATATATAACTGGTATATAAAAATAGTAATTGTTTAAAAAAACCACAGAATTGATAAAGTACAAGATAGGATTTTTTATAACCTTTTGTTTAGTCATGCACTTAATGTTAAAAACCACAAAACACTTATAAAAACAATAAATAATCATGAACCATTACTAATTATTAATTTTTAATCCTCAATTAAAAGTGCATCCATCATTTTGCACTTGACAATACATATTGTCATTTCTGGATGTGGCTAGAAATTGACTTTCTGAGGTTGATCTATATGCATAAATTTTATTGCATGACATAAATGCAGTTGATTGAAAGAAAAGCTATATAATACATTTGTATTTAAGTTTTAGTTAATATCTAGACTAGAGACAGATATTACATAGGCAACTAGAGGAAATCTCAAATTATTAAGCAGCCCTCTTCATTTCATTGGTAATGTTAAATTCCTAACGAAAATTATTGTTTTCTCAAAAATCATGGAAAAATACTTAGATAATTCCTTCAATAATGTAACCTTATCAAGAAATCATTTAGATATTAAGGTTTATTAACACCATATTTTTACTATGAAAAAATGTATCAGTCGTACCTACACATCTCTATTTCTGTAATATCTTGATGTCAATCTTTCACTTTCATTGCTCATAAAATCTTTATTTCAAAAGATATTTTTTTCAAACATTTTAAACCAATTTCGAGAAAAACTCAAAAAATGAGAGAGAGAAAAAAGAAAAGAGAAGGAATATGTCAGTACGGAAAAAAGGAGTCTGCAAAATAATGAGAGAGCCATACGTGAAATAGATTACATGACATTAAAATGGAGTTGCTAATCTCTTGTATTATATGTTTCTGTCTATACACTATGAATTTTATAATATATCAATGCATATTCAGTTTTTTTATGTTAAAGACTAGACTTGAAAAGCCAGCTTAAAATAAAATGAAATGTTTATACAGTCATTATAAAAATGTGAATTGTGTCTTATTTAATGTGTTTTAACTCAATTTGTTTTTTAATAGGACCAGTATAATCAATGGTTTGTGGCCAAAGTTAAATTTAAAGAGAGGAATGGAAGGGATGTGTAAGTAATTTGACACATCATTTGATTTTTACATGTGCTGTATAAGTATCTGTGTAATTCAGTGATTGTTCTGTTCAATGTTGATTGTATATATTAAAACCCAACTTTAAATAAAGATTACTTTCCTTTACTTAACATAGTAATTTATTTAGCACCCTGGGCAGTTGAATAATTTCAGAAGAAATGCACATTTTGAAATAGTGGACAAAATGTAGTTCTTTATCTTGCCTCATACACTCAGCCTGGAGCTGCTTCTGGAATACAATACAAAAATAAGATGTAGTATGATTTCCAATGAGGCAACCCTCCACCAGAGACTAAATGAGGTAGAAGTTCCAATTTGATAGCTTGATGGAGCATTGGTTTATGGAATCAAATGTAGTCTCTGTGTAAGATTTTGAATATATATGTAATTCTTATTTGTTCCATCACAAATAGGTATTTAATGAAATTGAAATAAAAAAACAAAGAAGCAGAATTAAATAAATATTATTGATATATATAATTTACTAGTAAAGATTGAGGCAGCACCAACACCTTAAGTTAGAATTTTTTTTTATTTTATAATAAAATTCGTAAGGGTTCCGTGGAACCCAGTGTCTCACCTACTTTTGCTGTTCATCGCAGGCTCAACAAAAATGGGGAACAAATTATTAAAAATTTTCCTCTAGATACTATCTTTTGATTGTAAGAAGCTTCTGTCCAAATTTGGTAAAAATCCAGGGTGGTTTATGAATCTATGAATAAATGTTTTAAAAACTTTTAACTGCAGACTGTATGTACTGTTAACTGGGAGAAAAACTAAGTCCATGTATAAGTAAAATAAGGACAAACAGGATTTGTTTTTTACAAAATTTACTTCTGGATACCATCTTATGATCATAAACAAGCTTCTGTCCAAGTTTGGTAGAAACCAGGATATTTTAAGAAAGTTATTAAAATTTTAAAAACTTTAACCACAGAGTGAATGTAATGTTAACTGGCAGAAAAACTAAGTCCATTTATAAGTAAAATACGGATAAACAGGATTTTTTTTTACAAAATTTACTTCTGGATACTATCTTATGATCATAAACAAGCTTCTGTGCAAGTTTGGTAGAAATCCAGGATACTTTTAGAAAGTTATTAAAATTTCAAAAACTTTAACCACAGAGTGAATATTTGTGGATGCCGACGACGGAATATAGGATCGCTATGTCTGGCTTTTGCGACAAAAGTCGCAGGCTTGACAAAAATCAAATTCAAAGCAGCCTGTATTATAAATGTAGATTTTATCATTAGATTTATGCCCCAAAAAAAACAACCCAATAATTTTAAAACAGTTGACCTGGTTTGAATAAAGCATTTAAACATTTTAAGTGCCAACATTGTTTAGGTTATATTTACAGATACAGATTTTACATAATAATTTTTTGATATTCCTCTTTCACTTTTTCAATTATAATTTTTACTCCAAAAATATCAGAATTAACACATACACATATATGCATCAATGAATACTGCAGGGCTAAAACAAGAAGCCTACCTTCCATTTCTATAAAAAGTCCATTTAGAAATTACCCTTTGTTTTGAACAAAATTATAGAAAGAGCAGACATTTTGTTAACCCATCTATGTGGAAGACTCCAGGTGGAAGATGTATGTTATATAGCCCATTAATTTTTTGTTTGGCTCTATGGAATGCTTAATGCTCACCAAGTATTAATGAAACTTTTATTGAAATTTAGGATATCTGTCAAAGCTGTAGAGAATACATCTGATTTATAAATACATATTTCAAACATAAATACACATAATAATATAATCTGCGAGCATTTTTTAGATCTGTTGGACACCTACATCATAATTGTTGATATTTTGAATTTCTAGATATTTTGAATTAACTTTAAATTTCAGTTACACTTTTCTTTTGTACTACAGAATAGAATAACTTCATTTTCAGTCAGCAGCCTATCAATGATAACTTGTAACATTTGAGCATTTTTCAGATTTTCATGACAATTACTCCCTGTTATTTGATACTTGAATTGCAAGTCTGGGGTATTCTTAGCACTACCATGTGTGCATGTCCTGTTTTATGTCAATGTATGCTTTTCTTAACCATTAAGTTAGGCATGACACAAATTTTGTAGTAGAAACATACTTTTGAAGTATAGGGCATTTCAGAGGAGGGTGCCATAGTGAGAAATAATCCTTTTCTTAACACTTATAAAAGCCTTCATAATTTTAAATGGGGGTAAAATGTAGATGCAGAATGATTTTACTATAATGCTTTATTTGTTTAACAGCCAAAACCCAGAGATCGGAAAGGAGAACAAAGTAGAAGTTATATCTTATAAGAAAGGACATTTACCAAATACACCACTTAAACAGGGAGATGTAGTAGTAAGTAAACACAGTACCAATATTACTCCATAACTATATTGTTAAAATTTTCTATATAGTAAAATTGTGTTGATTTTATTTTGATATTTTTTAATTTTATAACTAGGAATATACAGATCAACATACATTGACATTTTTATGTGTTTATATTTTAAACACTGATCTTTTTTTATTTTTTAAATCTGCATATTTTGAACACTGATCTATTTTTAAATCCATATACTGTTTAAAACAACATTTGACAAATTCATGAAAATCTAGGACAATAACATAAGTTTGTTAATATTCTATCAAATAATACATTTGCTATTATAAGATAAAAGCAAACTAATATGTAAACTTTTTTTAAACAGTATAATATTTTATTTCAGTTGACTGAGGTAAAGTTAAAACACTATGACTCATGTGCGAACTTTTTTTAAACAATATAATTTTATTTCAGTTAACTGAGGTAAAGTTAAAACACTATTGTGATTTAAACAGCAGTCTGATCAAACTTGTTAGCCTGGGCATTCAGGATTTCTGGAGCTTTTTTCTAGATTGCTTTAAAGTCTTATTAGAATGTTTTAACAGTGTTGATCTGGTAATGTAATGTTAAAGAATTTGTACCATAATTTACAATGTAATCACTTCAAAAGACCAGCACATAAGAACAATATTTATAACGCCATTAATAAATTTAGGATTTTGTGCAATGTAAATACATGCATCTATTTTTAATGATTACATGTGATATACTGTGGACTCATAATTATTTGTAGGATACCTATTTTTGTGGATTTCTTAGGTAAAGATAAACCACAAATTAAAATGCTCAAGGAAGTTCAAATTTTGTATAGGCTTGTATGCAGACTTTGACAAATCCACGATATCAAATACACACGAAAGTAAAATTTCCCCATCATCCACGAAAATTGATATCCACAAAAATAAATGAATCAACAGTATTTTGAATGTGGTACAGATAACTTAAACTCACTGACTTTTGAGGCTGTGCTTTACTAAACCTTTAACTGAATATTTGTGCAGCTTGTAGTGTTCATGCTTAGTTGTGTAGGCTGTGATGTGACACTCGTCTTGGGATTTTTACACTTATTATCACAGGTTATGGTATTGTTCAGAGAATAGAGTAAAGTGTGGCTGTAGTTCTTTAATTATGAAAGCAATTTTCAAAAGCCTTCTCAAAAAATTATACTGAATTCTTGCATGGTTTTCCAGAAATTCTGTTGAATGATTTTTATAAGAGCTTTTCATAACTACAGTAAAACCTGTGTAACCTGAATTAGAATTATCTTCTGAGTAGATAAAACTACATGTATCGACTCAAAAAATTGCATTTGATGTTGTATTTATTCAATATCAATAATATATTTTCAATTTATTCAATATAAATACAGATTTAATCATTGTTCCTATTGAAATTTGCATATTTTTTTGTGTTTGTATAGTCATAGAATACATTTAAGAAGGCCTTAATTTAAACATTGTCAATTTCAAGTTTTTATTTGTCAAATGCACACAAAAACAAATTTCAATTGGAACAATGTTTAAAATTTTGTCAGAAATCAACTTTTTCAGTGAACTGACAAAAGTTTAAATGGACAAGTAAACTGCAAATGATTTGGAATAATGTTTTTGAAATGCTTAAAAGGTTGCCTTTGCCTATGCTTACTTCTTCTGAAGTGCTATTAATGCTTCTAATCACAAAGTTCCAGATTCTTGTCTTGACAAATTTTTCTATATCTAAATTTGAAGTATAAAGTGATACCTTGCCTGTGGTTATAGGTAAAACAGGGGTTATAGGTAAGTCAATGTAATAACCTCCCGTTGATTAATTAACTAATTACTGTAAATACTGATATTTTCTTCGGTTGTTAATTCACGATTTCAATGCATAAACTTTTCCCACAGAGGTTAAATTTACTAATCAATGACGAATTCACACTTCATACCAATAATTTTGCCTTTTAAAAACAATTTGCACTGGGGATATTTTCATGCAGTTGACAAGAACACGAAATAAACAACAACAAAAAAAACCTGTACAAAAATTTACTTCTTGGGTAAATAAAGTAATTTTTCCTTATTCAAGGATGAAATAAACTAATAAAAAAAGGCAAAAAGTCAATGATAATCCTGCTTTATACTGACCAGAAATAAAACAACACTAGGATTATTTATATGTAAGGTCTTGGCCTACTTTGACTAAATTTGCAACAGTGACAAAGAGAAGAATAACAATATAGTTTGTATGCATGAAGAAATGGCAGAAGTTTTACAATTATGTTTAATATTTTTAAATGTTATTTTAATACCTGGAAGTACAAATAGTTTTAAACTTCTTTTATTATCCAAGTAAAGTTAATCATTTTCTTGACTTGTATGACAATTTTCATAAAAACCATTGAAGATTCTTTACATTTGATTGCGACCTTATTTATTACTGTCAATTAATAACTTTGGTCTTTGATACTGAAAATAAATCATAACTGTTATATTATATTGATCTTTCAAACAATAAAAAATGTTTTAAAATTATTATAAAAAGTAACTCATTTTTCATGTAGTCATTACAAATGACATTCTTTTGTATTTTCAGAGGGAACAGAGTCTTATTAGATTTTTTATAACAAAGAAAGTGAAGTATGTGTGGAACACAAGTTCTCAGGAATTTGAGAAGGCAAAGTTAGTTTTTACTCCAGTTTTTTTTGCAATCAGTATAAATTAAGGAGGATTTCAAATACATGACATTTATAATTTAACTTGGATTTAAACCTGTTTTGTTTACGTTATGTCCCTTTAAAAATTAAAGGAAAATAATAATATGCTATTTAGTTGTTTTTATCAAAATTTATTTTAGATATAAGGGGCTCCAGTAGGGTACCTTTAAAATCTTTTAAAGCTTTTAATTTTGTATATCAGATTGAAAAATATGGTGTTTTGGAAAAAAACTGATGAGTTCTTTAAACTCCCATTCAAAATATTTGAAAACTGGCAAAAATTATATTGGTTGACTTTATTTTTGACACTGAAATGTATCTATTTATACAGAAAAATAAACTTATCTTAGTAAAACTTGGGACCTCATTTACAATGGGTGTAAGCATTGTCCACATTATTTCTTGCTTAAACTTGTAAGTAATAACAAAATACACTTTCTCTGTGAATTCCTTTTTGAAGCAAAGATTGTTCTGTTTATTTTATAACTCAGCATATGAGACAAAGTCATTTTTATTGGAACATGGTATGGTTTGAAAATTTGAGTAAAGAAGCAAATCTGAATGAAAATATAGAAATTTGAGATATAATAAGAATTATGAAATTAAGCAAAACAGAAAATAATTGTGGCTCTCTATGTTAAGTTTTTCATGTTTGGTAAATCATCTGCATTTCTAAGGTAATTATGAACTTTTAATTGAAGAGTTGATTTGTCAACACCTCTAAGGTAACTATGGACTATTTATTTAACAGAGGATTAGACCATTCGACAAGATGCTCATACTTCCATGAAGCTTCAGGACTTAGTCATTTAGAACAGTCTCAAAGGTAAGATCCTTGTAAGATAATATGAAATGGTCAATCCAATTAAAATACAGATCCTATGTCCACACCTGGCCTTACAAGGATCTGACTACACTCCGTCCTCCTTTCTGTTCTGATAAATTTTATATCAACCAATGAAATTTCTGCCTCCAAATTGTTGAAAGTGCGTATCAGTACGATGAAACCTGAGGACCCCGAAAGGTTGTTAAAACAGAAAGTAGAATGGAGGGTTTTTGGATCCTTGTAAGTGAAGGGTAGATACAGAATCTGTATTATAATCAGATTGTACTATGGTTTGAGAACATGTATATAGAACCTTACTTTTTGGTTTACATGAGATAATTTGTACATAAAAACAGAGCATCTATTATTTACATTTAAGGTGACTATTCCGGATGATGTCATATTTACCTAAATAATATTATTTTTTTAAATATGCCTGAGAAGATAAACAAAACTAAATATTTGAAACTGAAGGATGGAGCATAAAACATTATTAGATATGAAAGAGATAAAAAACATCGGTGTTTTATTGCCTGGAGTACTCTTAATGGTATTTTTTTAATGGTGAAACTAGGATACAAGCTTAAATCATGCTCAAAGGACTTTGGGACTTTGTTGCAGTGTTTAAAGGTTATTTTGAAAAGTTTTTGAAAAAGTACTTACAGTTTACCATTGATATTTGACATGCTGTTGCATTAGCATCCATGCAGTTCAGTTTCAAGCAGGATATAATACTCTGGATAATCATGGGTGAAATCTTTGCAGAAAATAGTTTTTTGTGACAGTATATAAGTCAGATAATGCATATTTTAATTTTTTTCTGGTTGCATAGCACACTGATGGATGTCAGGATTGATCAAATGAAAGACCGACCATAGGGAGGTCCTGCTTTGGACAACCCTGACATCCTCATACCTGCCATCTTTTTAAAACCTTCATGGGGGATTTTAAGCACAAGAGAACCTAGTGCATGTTTCATACATGCATAAAGTGTATTTGGTAAGATATACTATGATTTTAAGGAGTATATAAGTACTTAAATGCCATTAAACTAATTTGAAAAAGTATTTTGAGGTATTAAGTTCACATAATAGAGGATTAAGGTAGTAAGCCCCCCCTATAAATCGTGTTATTTGGCAGGTCTGCATCCCTTGGTGTTTCATATGACAAGAAAACCTTTTAGAATGGGTTTTTATCTTGAACATATTATTAAAATTTGCAGGAGAAATGTATATGGCAGTAATTCTATTCAGATCCATGTGACACCAATAATCACATTACTATTCAAAGAGGTAAGATTAAAAAAACTACAAAAAAAAAATAATTAAATTCAAGGTCATTCAGCATGAAATAACTTCCAGGTAATATTTCATAGCAATTGACAGATTTAACACAGATAGAATACTTTGGCTCTGAAGTAGATCATTTTAATAAAATCATAAGAATAATAAACTTTTATTCACTTTTTAATATTAATCTATTATATACAGGTCTATCTGTTTGATCATGGTTCTTGCATGTTACAATACAATAAATTTGCATGCGAAATATTAAGAAAAGTTCTTTTTTTTGCCTCATTTATATTTATAATTTCAATTTAAGTTGCTTCAAGTACAGGTGGTAAACAAATGTTTCATGAAACATGTGACTCCTAATGACAAAATTATTATGTTAAAAAAGATATACCTGTAGTTAGAGTTGATTTCTGTGGTGTAGGATGATTTTTTTATTACACATTTTAAAAGCTTATACAATTTGGTTAGTGGATTTGGTGTACCATATACTTCATACCCCATGTTCTTTCTTTACAAAGTTATTATTATATTAATTTATTAAATGAACTTCTGATTGGCAATCACATCACATCTCCTTATTTTTATGTTCACAATCTGCTAAAATATCAAAGTTTGCTCCAAACAAGCAGATATATGATATGAATAAGAGGAGATGTATATTAAAAATAAATACTTGCAGAGAGTTTTGTTTTTAAATTACAAATTTCATGCAGTCTATATCCTTTGTTTTAACATTCCAACATTATAACATGTAAGTAAGAAGTCCATCTTTGACCTTTTATTACATAACTTTCTTATATATTTGTCCCAGGTAGTTTTTATGAATTTAAAGTGATTAAACTGGTATAGACCAGATTTCCCTTCTTTATGATTGATATGCAAACATGCACCAAATTTTATGTTCATTTATATCCATGGTTGTAAAATGAGATTTATATTCAAATGACCATACAAAGATATTTACTTATACAGTGAAGAAAGAATTTATATACACTGTATATTTATTATATCATCTTAATGTCAAAAAGTGTTTTCACATTTAAATATTTTGTTTCAAGACCACCTAGCCAAATAATGAGATCTTTATACCCCTGCAAATAATTTTTTGAGGTATTTAGGAAGCCATCCATCCGTTCATCTGTCTGTTACAACTCCTCCTAATAGGTTGGATGGATATTAATGAAACTTTCCACAGTTATAGAACACTACCAGACGATGTGCATAAAGCATATTAAAGGGGAGATAATCAGATTGCTAGAGTGGTATCCTCTTGTGATTCACTGACAGTTCTAGTGAATTATAGATCAATCATCTGTCAGTCTTGAATCCTTAATATTAACACTCTGCTGAACAGTTAGAGCAGATGAGATAAAACTTTGGGATTGTGTTTGTCAAGATGGTTGCACCATGTTACTTTGTTTGAAATGTGTCCAAAAATAAACTTTTCACATTTTAATATTGAACTTAGAAGATTGTCTTCTTTAGAACTTCCAAAGTAACTTAGACAAAATATAACATAATTATTTCTCTGTTGTATTTTACAAGTGTTGTTGCAAATTAATGCTAATTGGTAAAACAGTGTGGTTCAGTATAGTCCGTACAGTACTTTCTGATTGCTTGGTGGATTTATGGGATGAAATTACTTTGACTGCCTCAAATGATAACAAGAATGAAGGAGTTTACACTATAATATCCCCTTGTTGGCACTGCAAGAGAATAACAAATCTCTATAGGTATCACAAGGGTGTAGAGGAGAGAATTAATTGTAACTCTTATCTAATTGAGATACAAAAAGGTTGTAGATTTTGAATTTTATAACATTTACTCAAGAGTTGAAAGCAATGTCGTTTTAAATCTAAAAGATATATGCACATTTGTTAAAAAATACTTTTAATTTTTGTAGGTGTTATCTCCATTCTACATATTCCAGTTATTTAGTTGTTCTCTGTGGTATGCTGATGAATACTATTATTATGCTTCCGCTATCGTCCTAATGTCAGTCATATCTATAACAGTCACTATTGTACAGACTAGGCAGGTAAATTTGAGGTCATTATCATTAGTGATAGGGGAGAGGTGTTGAAGTTTTTAGTAGCTCTCTATAGTAAGCTGATGAATACTATTGTTATGCCTCAGCTATAGTTCTATAAATTCAGATTTATATATGTAGGACTCAAATCTATGGTGAATTCCAAATCTATGGCAGATTCCTAATCTATGGCAAATGTGACGTCATGTCATTTTAAATCTATGGCAGATTTTTTACAATCCTAATCTATGGCAAGATTTGTAATTTCCTAATCTATGGCGGATTTTTTTTGGTTTCCCAATCTATGGCAAATTTTGGGCAAATGATAAACAATGCAGTTCATATACGACTAATGATCGACTTGTCTTAAACAAGTGGAAATGTACGACAATTTGAGCATGTATATAAACAGTTGTGAAATAAACATTTCATAATGTTCAACCAAATCATGATGGCAATCCAAATTTCGTAAATCATGAATTCATATACCTTAATATGGACTTCAAGATTGAAATAATGTTACCTGTTTAACCCATTCATTAAACCAAATAGTAAGTCCCTTAACAAACAAGAGGGCATTTTTTTTAATAAAAAAACTAAAATAAAGAAAAACAGTTTGAATTTTCACATATTTCTGTCATCGTTAATACATCTTTTTTATTTGAGGACGATTTAAATCAAAATGGTATCCGGTAATTTTATCTTTCACTTCATAAACTTTGGCAGCCGTAGACTGTAAAATATTTAAAAAATATTCTGTACCGATAAAACAGCTGTGCCCTAATTCATCGCGAGATTCGGCCGGTACAGCACATTTTGCCCTTCTTCCGGATAATAGGTCACATTTTCATTTAAACCATCCGCAAATTGTTATAGAGAGAAATTCCTTCAACTGAACTTGTGTTCAAATCTCTGGGTTCCGCCATCGTTAGCGGCGGCGACGTTGTAATATGGCGTTATTCAATTGTGGCGTTATATGTTACTTTTTTCCAAGAAAATTATGCAATTTCAAAATCTGCCATAGATTTGGAGAAAACAAAAATCTGCCATAGATTTGTTTTGTTTGACATTTGTAACGTTACATTTGCCATAAATTAGGAGTCTGCCATAGATTTGGAACCCACCATAGATTTGAGTCCTACATATATAACAGTCCTATTGTACAGACTCTACAGGTAAGTTTGAAGTCATCATCTTAGTGATAGGGTAGAGGTGTGGAATTGTTTAGTAGCTCTCTATGGTACACTGATGAATACTTGTATTATGCCTCAGCTAGTCCTAATGTTAGTTATATCTATAACAGTCCTATTATATATATTATATATTTTTTTTAATATGAGAAGGATATTACTGTGTTATACATTCTTAATGATAGCTTCTTTATTTACATGTGATAGAGATGTTCTTGTTTCTTTAAACATTCTGAGTAAGAAAGCCAGTTTAAAAAAAAAATAAAACATTTGAATGTAAAACAGATGAGATAATGAATCAAGTACTCTCCTGAGTACAGACTGCAAAATCGCATACAGCTCTTTGTATGATTCTTGAATAGTGTGACACAAATGTCATAATATTATACACAACTTACTCTTTAATGTAATGGTCATATTTTCTGTAATATATAACAATAAATCATGTTCGAAGTATTCAACAAATATATTACCCTTGATTTCAGATGCAAAGAGCTTTGCGAAATACGATTGATTCCTCCAGTATAGTTACTGTTTGTAGAGGTGGTGATGGTAAGTACATCACTAATGGAACGTTAAGTGTACACATTCCCCTTCTCGCAAATTTGGCCTTGTTTAGGCTTAAAAATTTCTTCTGAGTCAGACAAGCCATGAACTATTTCCAATCTAATATTGAAAATGTGCAAAACTTAGATTTCAATTTGGAGGAATAACGTTTCCTTGAATACAGCACCTTTTGATGGCACCCATTTGTGGATATTATGGTTCATTGCAAATTTTCATTGAACATTGTTTTAATACAACATGGAATATAAGAACACAAAAGAGAAAAAAAACCAATTTAACAATGCATTAATTAGGTAGGTTCTTCATGTTGGTAGAGCAGGATGAAAACAGAAAGTTTAGACTGCTATTGGTAAAACACAGGGTATTATGATTAAAATTAGAATGTTTGTCTTACAATATGTTACCTAGAGACTTCCTTTAAGAATTTTTGCGAGTTTTCTTTTATCTGCACAGAGTGTGGCACACTAACATTCACTATGGAAATTGGGATCAATGAATTATTGTCTGCCTTTTCCTTGTTTTTATTACAGTCAGTCACAAAAGATTTTTTGAATGCAAATCCACTACATATATGAACAAAATGATGACAGAGTCACTTCATACCATGACATGATTTTTTATTTTTATATCAGATTAATCTTTGGGGATTTCTCAAGACCAAAGCAGGGACTTCTCTTATTTAATATATTAATGAACTCATCCATAAATGGAAAATCAAGAAAATCAATCATCTTTTGAAATGGCTGGTTTAAAAAAAGTATCTGGGAAGTGGTAAAATATGTTTCTTTTCCAGTATCAATGTTAATGTCTTATGTATCCTGAAAAGGAAAGTTGTACATGTTTTATGTCTAAAACATTAGTTTTAATCAAAACTACATATTTTGCAGAATACATTGAAATATCGTCTGAAGATTTAGTCCCAGGTGATGTGATAGAAATACCAAGAAATGGGTGTATCATGCAGTGTGATGCTGTATTAGTGGCAGGCAATTGTATTGTCAATGAAAGTATGCTGACCGGTAAGAATTGAGTTACGGGTTCCCAATTTACTGTAGGCAAGTAAGTATCAATATTTTCAATGAAAATAAGATACTGTAAACCGGGAAATTTTCGCGCCGTCTTTATTTCGTGATTTGCCTAGTCAATCTAGATTCGCGCTGTTTTGAATTCGCGATTTTCCGATGTCCAGAAAAAAAAATATTTAAATTTTAAAACTGCATACTTGTTTGTGTACCGTTAATTAGTGAGCGATTTTAACCATGTCCGTCGGTAGTAACTTAATCTGATATCGATCAATAACTTGTTTGGACGAGTGAAAAGTTTTCATTTGTAAATAAAAAATAAAATTTAAATTCATTAGTTCTTTCTATCGTAGTGGAAAGATTTATAAATTTCTGATTAAAACTTCATCACCGGGGCCTCCTTTACTTCCGAAAACGGACAATCCGGCATTTCAAAGTGCAAATACAGAAGTTGAAAATATCTTAGTAGACAATTCACCTGTTGGTAAAGGTGGCACAAAACGTAAACGGAGAAATTACAATAATTATTCACCAGAGGTTCGAGCTAAAATGGCAAAATATGCAATTGAAAATGGTGTGCAGAATACTGCAAGGAAATTTACAACTCATCTTGGAAGTCCTGTGAATGAATCAACTATTCGGAGCATAAAGTCTTCATATATGAGACGTGGGCTACATAAACAATTTGAAAATGTGGCCTAACTTCCTAAAAAAGATTGTAATAGACCTCTTTTTCTTGGGAAGTATGATGCAGAGTTACTGGATTATATAAAAAGCATACGAGAATTCGGTGGTATAGTTAATAATCAAATAGTTATTTCGTCTGCTAAAGGAATACTAAAATATCATGATTCAGAACTTTTAGAAACCTTAGAATTGAAAAATGTGTTGATGAAAATAATATTCCAGATGATTTAATTTTCAATCGGGACCAAACTGGTGTAAATCTTATTCCCGGTGGTGACTGGACAATGGACGCTAAAGGCAGTAAGCAGGTTAATATTGTTGGCATAAACAATAATGTAAAACGTCAAATCACTGCGTTGTTAACAATATCTAAATCTGGTGTTCTTCTTCCTCCCCAGATAATATATGCCGGGACAACTGAACAATGTCATCCGAAATATGAGTTTCCTAAGTCATGGAATATTTACCATTCAGAAAATCATTGGAGCAATACGGACACTATGTTGCATTACATAGAACATTTGCTTGTTCCCTATGTAACGGATAAACGTGATGAACTTGATTTACCCTTAAAACAGCCTGCTTAGCGATATTTTATGTTTTTAGTGCTAATAGACATGCATCCGTTTTAGATGCACTACACAGAGCCAACATTAAAGTAGTGTATGTTCCAGCTGGGTGTACAGACCAGTTAGACCTGCTTGATTTACGTGTCAACAAAGTGTATAAAGATATTTTAAGAGCACAGTTCCAAGATTGGTATGCAGATGAAGTGGCAAAATTTCTCAAAAAAAAGAAAAAACTTGATAAATTTGAAATTGACATGAGATTAAGCGTTATTAAACCACTGCACACCCGCTGGCTAGTGAAAACACAAAAACAATTAGAAACAAAGAATGACCTTATTCGTAGCGCTTTCGAAGCCGCAGGGATAAAAGTTAATCAATAAATCCTTTGATCTGTGTGACAGTTACAATGTGCTAATCGGTATTTAAACGATTTACAGGTGTACTTTACCTAACTGTAATGTGTGTTGTTTTTATAACAATTTTATCAGTGTCGGAATTAGACTTGAGATAATTTTTAATCCATTTGTCATTATTATTAATAAATGTTTTATTACCAAATGTCTGTGTATATAAACTTTTAGAATCAAAGGTCAAGTAGTGTCATTTAAAAAGTTGTTGGTATACATTTGTCGTCGACATATACTATTTTCCAACCGTGTGCTTTGAGTAGATTTTGTTCATGTCTATACTTCGATATAGGTAGAAAAAAGCATATTTTCCAGTTAAATATTCACGGTAGTTTTGATTTCGCGTACCAACTGCTACCGCGAAAATAGCGAAAATAAAACTACCGCGAAAATTTCCCGCTTTACAGTAACAGGTACTTATGACATGAGTAACAGGCCCCAGGATACAGGATTCAGACAGAGCTGTATTTTCAGACAAAGTAATTTAACCGGTAATTATGGCTCAAGCAGCAGGTCTTTAGAACATATGTTTTGTTAATGAAAGAGGTCTGAGCAGCTATTACAACCTGAGTGGCATGTATTCATTACATTGTACATTAAAGATATATGCATCACAAAAATAAAGTTGCTTCTTATATGTGTAGGTAATTTCTGAAAAAATCAATTTATAATCCTTCAAAATGTTTAGATTTTAAATCCTTTGATCATTTTCTGGAAATGTTAGCATTGAGGTGCATTAAGTATCAAATTTATGCCAAAAATAGCTGTTCTATAAGGTTGGCTTTTGACTGAAAAAATGAACGAAATCACCAGTATACAAAATTTTTGTTGTTTGTATGTAATTTTTCAGGGGTGGCATAGAATCCCTCAGGAGATTTTTATGCCCCCGCCGTAAGGTGGGGGCATTAAGTTTTATGTACGTCCCAAAATTGGTTTCCGTTCTGTAACTTAAGTTTGCCTCAACCAAATGTTATGAAACTTATACACAATGCTTATTACCACAAAACACAGATCAAGTTTGAATTTTGGTGGCGTCACTTTAACCGTTCTAGAGTTATGCCCCTTTATAAATGGAAAAATTGCAAACTTTTTAGTTTCCTTTCTCTAATTTAAGTTTGCCTCAACCAAATGTTATGACACTTATACACAATGCTTATTACCACAAAACACAGATCAAGTTTGAATTTTGGTGGCCTCACTTTAACCGTTCTAGAGTTATGCCCCTTTTTTATTTTTAAAAGCAAACCTGAATGAAATCAAAATATGTTTTTTTTTTTCTTATTACAGGTGAAAGTGTACCAGTAACAAAGACCCCATTACCTAATCCTAAAATGTCTAAATCTCAGGATGATATTTTTTTCAACATTAAGGAACATTCTCGTCATGTTTTGTTTTGTGGCACTCATATCATTCAGACCCGTTATTATGGAACCCACAAAGTTAGAGCTGTTGTCTTGAGAACAGGTATATTGTATTCCAACTTAAAATCTTTCAAGTGATTCTGTTAGACTGAATGATGTCCAGTTAGGGCTGTTCCATTAAAACATACATGGTACCCAGGGAAGGCACTTTAAAAATGGGGTAACCACCTATAGAGGCAAATTAAAATTTCACTAACATTTCCACTATGCAAAAACATAGATGACACCCACCCATAGTTGAGATTTGGAAGTACCTTCCCTGGGTCCCATGTATATTTTTATGGAACAGCCCTTATGAAAAACATATTTACAAGGAACTAAATGATTTTTCTGCCTTTCATACTTAAAAACTTACCAACTGATAAAATCTATTGAATTTTTATAGGAAATATTAATTTTGTTTTTAATTAAGTCAGTTTTACAAAGAATTGATCTAAAAATTAATTTGAATTCAATTTCTTATATATACTTTATGGAACTCTTGCGAGTAGAATAAATTTTTCCAACAACAACATAAATCCAAATAAAAAGTGCTTTATTGTAATGCAAATGAATTTTGGCCAATTTGTGTCGTCAAGACGTTTTAACTTGCCATTAATGTGAATATTCATCTCCTATTAGGTTTTACAACAGCTAAAGGAGAACTTGTCAGATCCATCATGTATCCGAAGCCAGTAGACTTCAAGTTTAACAGAGATACATACATATTTGTTGGAGCTCTGGCAGCCATTGCTGGTATAGGATTTATCTATACAATTGTATTGATGGTAAGATATCTATAATGCAGCCTAAGTGTATAATGTAAATAATAATGCTAGAGAAAATGATCTTATAGATCCTTTCACTTGGACCACATGCAGTCTTGGTGTGAGTGGTGGAACAGTTGTATTTTTTGTAAAAAAAAAATGATTTTTTGGGTATATGTGTGCCACAGTATTGTAATAAATTTTGACTCATTTATATATTAATAGCTCAATTTTATACATCAGTGCTTTTGTAGTTTGACACATTTTATATGTTGAGCTCAATTTTACACAACAGTTCTTAAAAATTGTAATATTAAAAGATTAGATTTAAGTGCCTAAGAATCAGACAGTGGTGAAAACATGACAACTCAAGTTTACATTAATTTAAGTTCAGAATATATAATGGTGCACAAATATAACATTTGTTTCTTTTTTCTGCTCTGGTATTTCAAGATATAGAAATTTACAATTAAGGAAACTAACTCCGTAATTTGCTATCAATCTAACTAAAAGTTATCTAGAGATTTCTAGAATTACCAGACACACAGAAATGAAAGACCTATCATTTCTAACTCAGGAGAGGGTAACTTCAAAATAGGATGGTTAGGTCAGGAAGTTTTATTTTGCCTGATTTTTAGAAAGGCTGACACTTGATGCATAAATCCCTGGTTTCTTTTGGTTTTATTGTGAAATCGTCACATATTCTCATTATCCCATCTGATTTACCTCAATTTGGTTTTAAATTAAATGAAGACACTGTATGACCCATAAAACATTCTTAAGTTAAAGAAAGATGATCATGTTGTAGATATTTAGACATTGAAATAAGGAATTCTGTGAGAAGAATATTTTTTCTCAATTCAACACATACTTCATATATGCACTAAATTAGATGACTAATGTTTATCTCAATTATTTATCTGAATTTAGGTGCAAGCAGGAGAACATCCATCAGACATTGTAATTCGTGCCCTTGACCTGATAACAATAGCAGTGCCACCTGCCTTGCCAGCAGCACTCACTATTGGAATTGTGTTTGCCCAGTACAGATTGAAGAAACAACTTGTATACTGCATTAGCCCTAGAAGTATCAATGTCAGTGGCAGTATCAATGCTTTCTGTTTTGACAAGGTACATTAGTAAGAGTGGTCAAGATTGCTAATTTAGAAACTTGATTTATAATTGTGAGTAAAGTGAGATGTGGGGTTAATGTCAATGAAACAAAATGTTAATAAGCTAATTATAATACAGGGATCCAGTTTCAATGAATATCATTTCATGACATATTTTTATGTACTGGGTAGATGGCCTTTAATGGTGCTGTGCTGTTGAGTTGCCACATCCTTTATTCATATACATGGAAATGTAGCAATTATTTGAAGTTCGTTAAGAGTTTTATGTACACGTAAAGTAAGTGTAGTTTGTGGAAGTGAGAACAAAAGTTTTGCTGTATCAAATTTTGTTGTGCAAGCAATACAGTTAAAGTGTCACAGTGGATTTATTCCACCATTGTATTTATTCCACAAAATAATTGTCTTAGTGTGGATCATCCACCAGAGATTTTACAGTAGTACATATATTTTCCTGTCCTAGAGAATATATGCATAACAAATTGAACATAATGCAGAGGTTTTTTTTCTCGAGGGAAATCCATGAAAAAATGGGGCTAAGTTGCAAATTCCATAAAGTTGATACCTCATATCTTATGGTAAATTTCCCAGAGATCAAATAAAAAAGATTTTTTTTTCAGACTGGTACCCTCACAGAAGATGGCTTGGATATGCATAGTGTTGTTCCTGTGGAAAATGACAAGTAAATATTAACTTTTGACAGATATAATATTCATTTTAATTCTTAACATAAATTTTGATATACAAAGAAAAAAAAGGAGAATACCAGCAAGATACACATATAAAATTTTATCTCAGAAAATTTTAGATAAAGAGTAATGGGGCTCCAGTACGGTACCCTCTTAGGTCACACGGTCACTTATAAAATTGCCTCAGGTCGAGAGGTCACTTTTAAACAAATTTAGGAAAGTTGGTTTTGAACATTTTTAAAGGTCACAGGTCCTTTAGATGAGAAGTCAGATCGTAAGGTCTCCCTGTAAACCCCCAAAGTTGCAGGTCCGATTCGACCATATTGGAGCCACAGTAGTTGGTGTAAATCTTTCTTTCATTTTCTCTGAGAAAGCCATTCTTTGATTAGTAAAATTTGACAGAATTTTGATGACAAAGTTTAGTCATCAATTTTTATATATTTATAATCTAAGTTGTGATTCCTAAGTGTCTGCATGTTCTAGGTTTTATGTTCATTCAGTAATGTTATGTAGCCTATAACTTCGATGTGAGTGTCTAAGTACTCGTTCTGACTATACATAAAGCTGTTTGTGTATTTATTTGTTGTTTGCCTGATGTCCAGTTGCAAATATTTCCATGCATATTCAGGACAAGAAGAAATAAATAAATGAAATAGGTTATTTTTACGAAGTGGGTCACCCTGTATGTAAGGGGAGGGAATCAAGATATCCACTGGAAAAATGGTACCAGTACATAAGATAGTTACAGAAATTTTGTTTTCATAAAATTGAGAATGGAAATGGGGAATGTGTCAAAGAGACATCAACCCGACCATAGAGTAGACAACAGCCGAAGGCCACCAATGGGTCTTCAATGCAGTGAGAAACTCCTGCACCTGGAGGCGTCCTACAGCTGGCCCCTAAACAAATATGTATACTAGTTCAGTGATAATGGACGTCATACTAAACTCCAAATTATACACAAAAAACTAAAATTAAAAATGATACAAGACTAACAAAGGCCAGAGGCTCCTTACTTGGGACAGGCACAAAAATGCGGCAGGGTTAAACATGTTTTTTGAGATCTCAACCCTCCCCCTATACCTCTAGCCAATGTAGAAAAAAACAAACGCACAACAGTACACACAGTAAAACTCAGTTTAAGAGAAGTCGGAGTCCGATGTCAGAATAGGAAACAAAAGAAAATAAACAAAATGACAATAATACATAAATAACAACAGACTACTAGCAGTTACTGACATGACAGCTTCAGACCTCAATTAAACTGATTGAAAGATTATGTCTTCATCATATGAATATCAGGCACAATCCCTCCTGTTAGGGGTTTAGTATTAGACCATCATAAAATATATGAGAAGAACATAACCTGTGTCATGCCAACAACTGGTTTTAGAATAAATATGTTAAATTCTGATTCAAAGACCCTATAACATTGTATAAGTGAATCAATATTAAAGCCAAAATATGCAATCTTTAATGACCTGACAACAGTATCGTAACTATATCCCTTCTTAATAAGTCTGTTTAAAGGTTTTGTTAGCTTTTGAGGTGAATACTGACAATTTTGTGCTTTGTAAAGAATATTACCATAAAAGATTGATATACTTACATTTTCATTTTGAAATGCATGTTTTCCTTTGAATTAACTGCTATACATCTATCAATAATCATCTTTTAGATGTTCTCAAGACATTTGTTTTAAAACCAGCTAGCACTTATGATATATTTATTATCTTTTTGGGCATAGCATATTTAAGGAAACTTGCTGTTACTGCCAAGTTTCCCATGTTTTGACATCACATTGATACTCACATACATACAACAGCAATACTATTTATAAGGATTAACTTTCATCTGAGATGATCAAATCCAAACACCCTGGAATCTAAAAAATCCAAAAACCTCAACAAATACTTAAAAGTTCTTAGGCTTGATTTCACTTAGAGAATTTTAGCCTTAAGATATGACAAAATTACAAATGTATGCACATAATTTGTGTCCAAAACATATCAACATGGTAGTTCAAAAACTGAAAACTATTGAATTGATGAAAATTTTTTCCACAATTACATCTTAAATTTTATGTATATTCTGTACTTATAATGCAGTTTGAACAAGGAGTACACTGACTTGAGTAAAGTTGACAATGACAGTTTTATATCTGCAATGGCAACTTGCCATTCTTTAACTCTGATAGAGGGTGTTCTAAGTGGTGACCCATTAGATCTTATCATGTTTGAAGCTACAGGATGGGAACTTATTGAGGAAGGAGAAGACTCGTCCAAGTTTGACATGATTGCACCAACCATCGTCAGGCCAAAATCTGATGAATCAAGATCTTTTGACCAACACTTTAAGGTAAAGAAGGTTTTCAGACACATTAAAAAATACAGGTTCTCTAAAACTGCTAATTATGCCATTTATTCAATATTATTTTCTTTTTCAAAGTCTTATATTAATGCCATAATAGAAATATTTTAAAATACTGAACTTTGCTGGCATACACACTTTATATAATTATGTTTTACTTTTTAGAAAAAAAAAGTTCATAGAAATAGTTAATTTTTATGCTGTAGAAACTCAAAACATGACCTTAGATTTTTTTTGATGGAAAACAAGTGATATTGAACAGATACCTTATGTTTATTCCCACGATTTTTGACGTGTAGTCAAAAGTATGAAATATTTTTTGCATAACACTGATGGGAAAGGTTTAGTGCAGTTTGTTTTATAAAGTTTAGAGGGCATGGTTATTGTAAGCTCTTGCTTATTTACAGCCATTACAGAAGGAGATTGGAATTATACGTCAGTTTACATTTTCCTCCAGTCTACAAAGAATGTCTGTGATTGTGAGAATGTTAGGATCACAACATTTTGATCTGTTTGCAAAGGGAGCTCCAGAAAAAATAATTCAACTGTCTAAACCCGAAACAGGTTAGTCAATTTACTTTAGTTGAATAAATGAGGCAGGATATTTTTTATGTTTACAGGAATGGCTACATTGATAAAAAAAAATGTACAAATCTGTAGAAGATTCAATGCTCAAAAATGGCATTAGATTTATAAATGAATATATTGTTTGAGTTTAAAACTTAATGAAATATTCCCTTGTATTATATACAAAAGAAAAGCCTGATTATTCTGGCTGTGTCTTTAGTTTGTACAAATTTTTGTTTCATATTTTCATAGTGAAAGAAATAGATTTGTATGTGTATACATATTTTCAGAGATCCATAGTAAAGAGCTCATACATGGTATAAATAAAAAGTATATTTTTTTGCGAATTTCAGTTCCTAATGACTACCATGACAAGTTGATGAAGTATACACAGCATGGGTACAGAGTTCTTGCCCTTGCTTGGAGACAGTTGCCAGCTAAGCTTAAATATACTAAAATTCAAAGAATTCAAAGGTTAGTCTTCTTGAATAGTTATTGCCAGTTATATTTTTATTTGAAAATTCTGGATTTCTACATATGAATAAAAGGATATGAGTCAGTGAGCAATCCTTTAAAGACCTTAAAAGAAAAAGCAACTAAAAGTCAACAAAGAATAATACTAAAGTGTCCATGCCATATTTAAAGTTCTTCTATGTCCGAAATATAAACAAATAATGATAAAAATCAACAGATTTTACCAAAGATCTGTCTTCAACACCAAATTCCTGAAATAAGATAACTTTGATTGATTGTTTAATAAGTAGAAACCTTTTACTGTTAATATTTTATACTGTATGCAGTTACTGTAAACCAACTTATTTTCGGGGATACTTGATTTCCCGTTTAGCCCTTTCTAGTGCACTTCGCTGCGATTAAATTTAGCGATTTTCTAATTTTCTTGAAGTAGTTAGATAAGGAAAGATCCAAGTTTTACATATTTGCATTATTTTTCTACTCGCGAAATTCGCAATTATTAGTTGGTTTACAGTATTGACCAATTTTAGGCAGCAGATTTATTTTAAACAATATTTAAAAACTTCAATTAACAGGGAACAAGTTGAGAAGGGATTAACCTTTCTTGGATTTTTGGTAACCGAAAATCGGGTAAAACCTGAAACTACACCTGTCATAACACAGCTAAGGCAGGCCAACATTAGAACTGTTATGGTTACAGGTAAGTTATATGACTTACAATAGGCAAGTTTGTACATAGGTACATTGTGAAATAATAACGCAACTGTATTTTTGTACATCAAATTTCTGGAACATTTAGATGACAATAATGTTTGGAAATATCAATAGGCAATGTTCTTTGCTGTTGGTTCTCATAGGTTTGTAACATTGGTTAAATTACTTTCCCGAGAGAATACTGCTCTTTTGAGATAAAAAAGTAGAGATTTAATGAATATCTTATATTTACTTGAATTTCTTAACATTTAGATGTTACAAAACACCGAAAGAATAATGTACCCTGTATCACTTTGTATTATGGTATGCAGTAGTCCAACTGTACGTCAACATTTCATACAATTACTAAAATTTGCTTAAAGTGACTTGAGTTTCACCAGTATCAGTCAGATTACAATTCTACCTTGACAACTAAGTTTGTATTTAGCCTAGAAAATACATATTTAGCCTTGAGAATTGAAAGGTCAGTTTATCCCATTCATACAATAGAAATTTACCTATGAGGGTCTGAATGGGGTTTACAGAATAGAGAATAATAGCAATAAAAAAAATATTGAATAGAGAAAATGAACAACAAAATAAAGAATAGAGAATAATGGGGTGCAAAAGTATAAAGAATAACTGTGCAAAATAAAAGAATTAGGTAATGCAATACTGATAAAATAAATGACCATGTACAGAATTAATAAATAATCTTGTAACAGAAAGATTGAATAGTAAAATCATTTTCATGAGAATTTTACAGAATGAGAGTTATTTTTAAAGCTTAAGAAAAATGCCCTAAAAATTTAAAGAATACAGATATTAAAAAACCCCATCCAGGTCCTTGTGTCATTGTCTAATGAAAATGTTGGTTTTAAGGATTGTAAAGTAAATTAACTGATATATGGTGAAGGGCTTGATAGTAATGGAAACAACAACAAAAATCCCTCCTGCCATCCCATCCCCCAGAATATCAAATGGTCCACACCTTATTGATAAAAGAGGTTTTCATGGGATTGAAGCAACACAATATTGTTTTTTCTATGAATAAGAAAACAATCAATAATCTAGGTTGAAAAGAATCTTTGAGATGTTCCCCTCAGGTATTGTTGTATTGATTGAAATATGGACAAAAGAGGTGCAAACAATAGATGATTTAAGCGAGTGCAAATGAGTGGACATCATCAAATAAAACCAGGAGTATGTTTATTTCACAATACACTTCAAGGTTGAGGTGTAAACATGACTATTATTGCCAAAAAGGTTTTAATGAACCATTAGCTATCCAGATAGTAATTATGTTATGAAGTTAATGTTATAAAATGCATGATGAAATGCATAAATGATAAAATGAATTATCCCCCCCTCAACATTAAATAGTCGCCCCCTTATAGTGTTATTATTTCATATACTGACACTGTAAGGGATTTACTGTGTATTATCATTGGGAACTATAATTTATACCTTTATTAAATTGCTAGAAAACAATACATTCATATATTTGTTGACTAATCAAAGCATGAAAATAGTCATAGGAAATTTATGTAAGAAAAAACTATTTTTTAGATTTATTAACTGATTAATTTGGGTAAAGTTGAGAGGCATTTATTAAACTAATTAGGGACGACTAAACCATTTTAATAATTAGAGGGGCTGATTGGTTGTAGAATGATTGAAAATAAATGTAAGCACATTATATAAATCCACTTGCCAATTCCTCATTCACCCAGATAATCAAATGGTCATCCCCCTTACTGATAAAAAAAACATTTTAGGCAATGCTTTATTTTAAACACATTCCAAAAGACTTTGGCATTAAAATGAAGGAAAAAATGCACCTTCAAAGGAAATGAATTATCCCCAAATTACGACATTTAATGTATTTTCTGTTTAGGATCATGATAATCAGGGTACCTGTTAGAGATTCCGTATATATCATTTTTATTAGTCCCCTACCGACGAAGTCGAAGGGGACTTTAGGTTTGCACTCTGTCCGTCTGTCTGTCCGTCTGTCGGTCTGTCCATCCGTCAGTCCGGCAAATCAGCTTTCCACACTTTTTTTCTTCGTTCTTGAAGATATTGATTTGATATTTGGTATATAGTTTTGCCATGACAAGTTATAGATCAATTTTGTTCCGGTCTGATGATTTAGTCCAGAGTTATGGACCATAACTCTGGACCATATCTAATGTTGGAGTACTATGTTAAACCAAATTTTGTACAAAGGGAGATAACTCATTTTTTAAAAGCCATTCTTTGGTAAATTATTTGAAGAATTTTTTGGCAGGTTGTTTGTTATTTTGTATAAACTAATTTTCTGAATGCTATATATATATATATATATAAAAAATTATGAAGTGAAATCCTTTAATTAGATAATAATCTATTTTTATTAATGTATATATTACATAACATTGTGTAGATAAAAATTGTTGACATTTTATAGATAAGTTACAAATCTATATTAGTTTGTGACAAATAAAAGAAAAAATATTTGGAACTATTAATTATATTTGATTATAATTTGAAAATAGATATACACTGTATTACATCATATCTAATTTTAGCCATTCAAGCGGGAGGTTTGGCATGCCACAAAATCAGGTTCAACCCACCATTTTTTTCTTAAAATGTCCTGTACCAAGTCAGGAAAATGGCCATTGTTATATTATAGTTCGTTTCTGTGTGTGTTACATTTTAATGTTGAGTTTTTGTTGTGTCGTTGTTCTCCTCTTATATTTGATGCGTTTCCCTCAGTTTTAGTTTGTAACCCAGATTTGTTTTTTTCTCAAGTGATTTATGAGTTTCGAACAGCGGTATATTACTGTTGCCTTTATTTAGAGAATTATTAATCATATCTAATGTTAAAGTGTTTTACACACTTTTTTCATCATGCTTGAAGATATTGATTGACAATTGGTATATAGTTTTATCATGACAAGTTATACAGATAAAATTCGAAATTTTGTTTCAGTCTGAAAATTTTGTGCAGAGTTATGGTCCTTGGACTTGAAAATTCACTCATTTAATCAGTTTTCCACACTGTTTTTAGTCACGCTTGAAGATATTGACTTGATATTTTCTTTTTGTTTACACCATGACAAGTTATAGAACAAGTTAGCTTTTTGTTCCAGTATAATGAATTTTCACCCGGTAGGGGACTATGTATTGCCATGCAATACTCTCAGAATGCTTGTTTTCCTGGTTTATTATTTTCATTTTTATATTTTACATTTACCTAAAATGAATTTGCTATATATATTTGTTTCAATTTTCATTGGGAACTATCATCTATATGAAAATCAAATTCTATTCACATAAACAATAAATTTTTTAAAGTGTTTTTTTTACCACAGTTGCAAATTTCAAAATGACCAAACATTATGCAGGTCAAGGATATATCACTCATATTGTTTGGTAACTTGTACATCTAGTCAAACTGGTTTGGTATAACTGACAGTTTGCTCCTGCCCTACTTGTAGATGTCTATTTCACAGTGATCTTATGTGTTTGTGCTTAGAGTACATTGTACTGTAATATTTATTGATTTTCTGTTGGGGCATGACCTAAACATGTTTTTTTCTAATTTCAATTTATTCACTACATTATGACGAGTGTAACTCAGAATACATATTAAGGTGTAAACGCAGCTATTTAAATCAATTTTTTGTTTAACTTGGCATCATTTGTTTTGGATATGTTTGAAGAAAACATAATTTTCACTTGGCATCAGTTGTTCTAGATTACATGTATTGAAGAAAACATAAATTTCACCTTGGCATCAGTTGTTTTAGATTACATGTATTGAGGAAAACATAAATTTCACTTGGCATCAGTTATTTTAGATTACATTTATTGAAGAAAACATAAATTTCACTTGGCATCAGTTATTTTAAATTACATGTATTGAAGAAAACAAAAATTTCACTTGGCATCCATTGTTTTGTAGAAATTTGAGAAATAAACAATTTTCACTTGGCATCTATTGTTTTGGATAAATTGGAGGAAAACTATTAAGGAATATCTTCTCTTCTTATTGATATTTGGCTGTGTTGGATTAAGTCCAAAACCGCCTTATAGTATGGTGATATTGGGCTGAGTGGCAGACAGGCAGGTTAAAGTGGATGCCTAAATTCTGTATTCAATTCCTCCTACAGTTTTTTTTTCTCATTTTTTCCACATTTTGGAATAGTAAAATAATGGTAAAAGTCCCATAACTCTATAAAAATTATAAAATGACGGTATAATATGGTCAACAACACATGATGGCCAACAATTCTCAGAGTTTTTACAAGGTGTCACTGTTACAATACTAAAAAAAATAGTCAAAGTTCCATAACTACCATAAAAATTGCCAAATCAAAATGACGGTATAATACAGTCAACTACACATGGGGAAACAATTCTTAGCAAGTATGAGACCTTCCTCCCAAAAGGTCTGTAAGGATTTGTGTTCAAAAGATGTTAATGTTACAATACTCTGACAAAATGTAAAAGTCCTGAACTCCAGTTAAAAGGGTAAAATCATAATGGCTTTATGGTCAACTACACATAATTGCAAATAATCCTACTAAGTATGAGAGCTTTCTGTAAAATGGACTAAGAGGAGCTGCGTGCACAAGGTGCCATTGTTGCAATACTAAAAAAAATGGTCAAATTCCCATAACTCCCCTAAAAAATGTAAATTCAAACTGACATTAAATCCCCTGCTGTGTGATGTGTGGGGACAAACAAAATCCTTTAAGGTTCATCATAACAAATAGACAAAAAATGGATGTGTTTTAGTTTCCAAAAATACTCTAGTACAGACAGACCAGCGTAGTTGGAAAAGTTTTAAGGCCTAGCACCCACTATATATGTATTCAAAACTTAATGCATTTTGTGTTTCTGAAAAATTAAGTATTTTTTGGATTTTGATGGGCATTTTTTTTTTCATCACTACAGATGATGCTAAATAAACAAATACCTGAGTTGCATTTGATACTGTCTACTAAGTTACACCCT